CCACAAATCCCATATATTAAAATAAGTTTCTGAAACATTTTAAAAAACTAAATATAAAAAGTAAAATTCATATTAAGTACTAGAAGAAAATGCAAGATGAAAAAAAAAAAAAAACACGTTACAAATTTTTGCTTGGAAAAGGCCTTTTTTTCCTAAATAGAATACTACTATAGGAACAGACAGAATAAATTACAAAAATGTCTAATTTTTGGATGGATAATTAAAAAGCAACATCACAATAAAGGATGACCTTTGGGAAGGGAAGGTTTGCAATGTATCTGATGGGCCTAAGAGCAATACCTATAATATAATACAAAGAGGAAATGGCAGAAATATAAATAGCCTATGAACATTTTGAGATCTCAGTTTCACTAACAGTTGTTAAATGCAGATTAAAATGGAAGTATTTCTTATTGCTCTGATTAGTAAAAGTAAATGGCTGGAGACCCCCAGTGTCAGCAAGGCTAAACGGAAACTGTACTATCATAGATAGCCTAAGGGAGAAGGAACTGTTACAACCATTTTGGAAAGAATTCCTGGTATGGCACTGTAGTATAAGCACTGAACTGCTAACCCAAAAGCTGGCAGTTCATTTTGCTCCTCAGGAACCCTATACAGGGTCACTATGAGTTGGAACTGACTCTACAGCACTTAACAACAACATCAAAACTGTCAGCATCCATTGACTTGGCAATTCTACTTCTGGGAATTGTTTTCAAGAACATAATCCTAAAAGTCACAGTGAATGGATATATGTCTGGAGATGTTCACCGAAGCACTAGTTGTGACAGGAAAAGTAAATATAACATTAGAACCTACAATGAAAGATTATATAAAAATTAAAACGTGATATAGTTCATAATTTAAAACTTTAAAAATGTTATCACCTTATAAAACATTTTTAGAAAGGTACACCAATGTCTGGCAGGTCATTCAAACAATTAAGAGTTAAAAGGTAGAAGATAGACAAAAGAGAATTTGCACTATTATATTCATATTTTCATTCTTTGAATTAATTGTGTATAAGTACCTACTATAACTACTAAAATACTTTAAAATATAAATATTTATAATATGTATATAGTATAACAATACTTAAAAACAAGATCAGAGTAAGAAGGTAAACTTGGATGTAGCAGGATTCTACTATCTACTGTTGGTTTCTGAAACTAGCATATTCTTTTTATAATTCTAGCAGAAAATGTTCTATATGGCAAACTTCCATCTATGAATGATTATAATGTCAAACATACTCTTTTCAATCAAAAATAATTTTGGTACAATATATAAGACATTGTACAGAGGATACAAAGACAAGAAGAGTTCCAAGAAGCAGCTGTTATGATGTTAGCCTTTTTATTTTTTCATATTTTTATTAGAACATCAGTTTTTTTAGAAGCTCTAATAGAAACAAAACCCAATACTTACTGGCTCCAAATATTTGAGTTAAGATACTTTTCTGATGGCTACAGTCAATGTTGTAAGGTGTCTCGCCTGCTTTGTTGGGCCTGTAAAGCAACCGTCCATCTTTCGGATTTCTTAAAAGAAGTTCTGCCAGTTTCCGACTCCTTCCACGAATAGCAATATGCAAAGGAGTATCTCCTTTCTATAAAATAAGGGGAGGAAAAAAAAATGAACTTTCATTTTGTAACATAGAATATATGAATATTAACATATACTTAGTAACAATGTTCATATTTCTGTAAATTAAAAAATCTGAGCTTTCCGTATTTTAGGAATACATACATAATATTAGGAATCCTGTATGGTGCTATAGGATAAGCACTGGACTTTTAACCGCAAGGTTGGCAGTTCAAATCCATTATCTGCTCCTTAGAAACCCAATAGAGGTGCTATGAGTTGGAACTGACTCGACGGCACTTAACAACAACAATGTAATATTAACTTACTGTCTTCATTTCTGACTCATACAGAGCCTAAAGAACAGAGTAGAACTCTCCCTAGGGTGTTGAAGACTTTATGGGAGGAGATAGCCTCATTCTTCTTCTGTGGAGTGGCTGTTTGTTTTGAAAATCACCAACCTTGTGGTGAGCAGCCCAATGCTTGACCCATTACAGTACCATGGCTCTTTTGTGTAATATTATACATACGTATTAATACAGTAAACATGTTAATTTTTATCTCTATATTTTCCTACAATTTCTTTCTCTGACGCTTGTTTAGTTTTTCCACCACATTCTTCTAGAATAAGCCATTCTTCTCACTCTCCCTCAACAAAGCAAAAGAGAAAAAATAAGTCAAGTCTTCCCAGGATATGGATCCATTTTTGTCATAGCTTGTAATTTATGCATTATTTAAACATTCACTGTGCAAGGATGCAAGCCACTTTCCTCAACTAATATGTATTCTTTATTGTAGTTTTCTTCTCTATTTTGTCTAAAAACTCCAAAATCCAAACTACTATCCCATCTAATGAATGCCTATGTTGGCACTATAGGATCAGCAATGAACTGCGAACCACAAGTCAGCAGTTCAAACCCACCAGCTGTTCCTTGGAAACCCTATACAGGGTTGCTATGTGTTGGAATTGACTCAACAGCTCTTAAAAACAACAACACCTCATCTAACAAGGAGCCCTGGAATTGTAGTAGGTTATAAGTTGGGCTGCAAGCCACAAGGTCAGTAGTTCCACAAGAGAAAGATGAAACTTTCCCCTCCCACAAAGACTTACAGTACAGACTTGAAAACCCTATTGATGCTGTTGTTAAGTGCCGTCAAGTTGGTTCCGACTCACAGTGACTCTACATAGGGTTTCAGAGGAGTGGCTGGTAAACTTGAATTGCCAACTTCGTGGTTCAAACCGGCCTTGCCATCCATCAAATTAACCCTCAGTGCCCATTCAGAAGAGAGGTGACCCAAAGGAATGCAGAAATCATCGGACAATCTCTCTGATACCCCATGTGAGTAAAGTTTTGCTAAAGGTAATAAAGAAACTGCTACAATCATACATTGACAGAGAACTTCCAGAGGGTCAAGACGGATTCACAAGAGGCCGTGGAATGAGGAATATCATTGCTGATGTCCGATGGATCTTGGCGGAAAGCAGAGAACATTAGAAAGATGTTTACCTGTGCTTTACTGACTACGCAAAGGCTTTTGATTGTGTAGATCATGACAAGGATGCCCTTTGTCACCACTCCTATTCAATACTGTGCTGGAAGGCTTAGCAAGAGCTATACAGCAAGACAGGGAAGTTAAAGGCATCCAAATTGGCAAAAGAGGAAGTAAAACTCTCTCTATTTACAGATGATATGATCCTATACATAGAAAACCCCAAAGACTCAGTAAAAAAGCTACTAGACCTCATAGGAAGACTCAACAATGTGTCAGGATATAAGATCAACATACAAAAATCAATTCAATTCCTCTACACCAAAAATGATAGCATTGAAAAGGACATTAGGAAAGCAATACCATTTACAATAGCCACCCAAAGGACAAAATATCTAGGAATAAATGTAACCAGAGAAACAAAGGACTTATACAAAGAAAAATACAAAACACTACTACAAGAAACCAAAAGAGACTTAGAAAAATGGAAGAATGCTCCTAGATAGGAAGACTTAACATTGTGAAAATTTCAATACTTCCCAAAGCAATTCACACATATAATGCAATTCCAAACCAGATTCCAACTACATTCTTCAAAGAGATGGAAAAAACAATTACAATCTTTATATGGAAAAGAAGAGACTAAAGATAAGCAAAGCACTGCTTAAGAAGAAGAATAAGGTTAGAAACCTCTCACGTCCTGACTTCAAAATTTACTACACGGCTACAGTGGTCAAAACAGCTTGGTACCGGTACAATGAAAGATACATAGATCAATGGAACAGAATCAAGAATCTAGAAATTAACCCATCTACATACAGCCAACTGATTTTTGACAAAACACCTAAATATATCTCACAGGGAGGTGATAGTCTCTTCAACAGATGGAAAGCGATATGCAAAAGACTAAAACAAGACCTTCACCTCACACCTTATACAAAAACTAACTCAACATGGATTAAAGAACTAAATGTGAATGAATCCCAGAATTATGAAGGCCATCAATAAAAAACTAAGGACAAATGTGAGGGCACTAATTCAGGGAATACACATACTACCAAACATTTTGAGAACTGCATAAACAAAAGTAGACAAAATAGATGAGTGGGACATACTAAAAATTAAAAACTTAAGTGCATCAAAAGACTTCACCAGAAGAGTAAAAAGGGAACCCAC